AACAAAGTGACGAAACGCGCTGTGTAGAGCAGTTTGTCCGTTTAGGGCTACTGTAGAAACATGGTGGCGACTTCCATGTAAGGGGACCCACGGTGTATGTAGATATAAATTGCTCAATCTAAGGTAATAAAAACATAACAGTTCATTAAGTAAGGTCTTTACACACCTCTGAAAACATAGTTATGTATATTATATTGCATTTCTGTCAATAGATTGATGTAAATATTACACATTGCACCTTTAAAAATTTAGTTAAGTAGTTTTGCTTCTATTAGTTACTTACCTTGAAACACTAGAGGTGCTAGCACTTTTAGCCCATTCAAGGTTGATCTAGGAAAATGTGTGCAAATGTATAGGGCCCCATTCCTATATTTTGCCTGGGGCCCCCAATTGACTAAATCCGCCCCTGAGCTGAGCGCACAGAAAACAGCGCACGAGTTAAAATTGCTTGAATGTGTAAACTTGCAAGACAAAACATGTGCAAATGATAAACTTTAACTCTATGGTGGTTAAACTTAACAGTTAATCCGTGAATCACATGCGTGCCGAACCGTGCAGCCTGATCTGTACGGATCATGGATCATCTACGATCCATTGCACCCCTAGCCCATATCATTTTTTTAAAAGGTTAATGCTATTTTGCATTTAAAAGTAAGTACCACCTGTCGGCGCTGATAACCTTGTGGACAGTGCGCCAACATACAGCACCGTTGCACTACAGTCGTGCTGAGTTCGAATCCCGACTCTAGGACCTTTCCCGATCCCACTTCACTTTCTGTCAGTTCTGATTTGTCCTATCATAATAAAAAAGGTGAAAATGCCAAAAATAAATCTTAAAAAAAATCAAGTACCACCTACACTAAACCCTACCAATAGTGTTAACAAAAGCAAACATGATAAAAATGCATTTGCTGAATGTACCAGGTGAGCTACCAAGGAAATTTTCTGAGTCATAAGCACAAGCCATACATATGGAGCTTGTTATGTGCTGCAGGTGTCAGAATGTATTCGTTTACAAATCATGCACTATGGTAAAGTGTTTTGAGGTTGTGACTTGGACACAAAAATAAATCTTTAATAATCGATATTCTGCCACTGAAATCATGCTGTGTGAAAAGGAATATATGTGGAAACTGCAGACTGGAATTATATGTATATGTACTTTTTTGGAGTTTAGCAAAAATGTAGGCAAATGTATGTTTTTCCAATGAGTCTAGGTTGCTTTTTTCCTTTTTGTCTAATCACAGTTTCATGAGCAGCATTGTCTCTGCTAGACAGTCAGAACGTGCTTGTCCAGAGAGGAACATTGATTGTGAAATGGGTGTGGAAATCAGAAAATGTGCACTGACTAATGTCTATCCAGCTCTCATACCAAAGCAACTACTGTTAGAATTTATACTTTATAATTTGTAATGCATTTTTATCATTATTTTCTCTATACAAAATCTAATAATAATTTGTATTATTATTATTATTATTAATGTAACTGTTTGGATATTGCATCTCACTGCCAAAACTTGTACAGGGCCATACAAGTACTTCTACACAGGACAAGTCAAACATTTGGTCACGAATATGAATTAGCTAACATGACTTGAGCAAATTAATTTCATAGCCATATAGCGATAAAAACTATCGCTAAAACTAAAAACTAAAACTCGTTCTGTCATCATTGCCCAAAACTTGATTTTCTAGTAAGAATAGAGACTATATTATAGGTCTTAATTAGTGTACAAATCCATCTTTTGCTACTGGGTGACACTGTTGGGTACTGTACCGAAGTCCAGAATCCTGTCAAGCATTGATCTTTACACATTTATTCCTCGTACTTTTCATTTCACAGTGACTTTGTCGGTATGGCCATTGTGCTCAAAACAATCTGAGATGACACATTTACACTACACAATAGAAAAAAATAGAGTATTTAGCGTCTTGTGCGGTGTTGTTTCCTGAGGTGCTCTGCTTACCTGTTGGAGAAAAGCAACAAATTTGCACATGAAGTCCCCAAATATCCAGCCAGGCAGAGGGTAGAGGGTAGCAGTGAACGGCACGCAGCACAGCAGGAAAATGATGTCAGTGGCAGCCAAGTTAGCTGAGGAATTAAATATATGTGAAATGAATGATCTGTTTCATTTGATTAGAAGGCATGGAAAAAGTGAATGTGTAATGTGAGGTGAGACTGTTCGTATTACTGTTATCTCCAAGGGGTACAGGGATTCTGTCAGTGCTTGAAATATTGTGAAGTCCAAAATAATTGGAGACGTAAATGGTTAGAATGTGAGGTGAAAATGCAGTGAATTAAATGCAAGCTCTGACAGCGACACTGAAAGTCAATTTGAGACACTGTGGACGATCCGACTTTATTCTCTTCCATGCACAGACTGATAGAATTCACTAAAAGTACATATAAGGTAACATTACAAATACTAAAATGCCAACATTTAGTCATATAGTGACTATGACTTTTTTGATTGAGTATTTCATTCAAGCTCCATCAATTTTAAGGCATTTCCTAACCTCACAATCTTGCTCAAGAGGTCCTTGTGCAGCGTTCCTTGAGGGAATGCAATAAATCTTACAGTTACATGACAGTACATCATTCTGTGACTAATGAATGAACACAGTCAATAAGAGGTTGAACTCCAGTTTGCCTCCTGTCGCTGCAGTTCCTGTGCAAAATTAGATTCATCTGACTTATGACAAAGTACATTGACAAAAGAGACTAAAATATATTATTCAAACACTAAGAAATGTTTTTAGAAGCTTTTTAAAAGAGCGTTGTCTAATGTGGTAAAAGGTTCCAAAGCTTTTGTACAGAAAAAAGGGAATTGGCTGCAACTCACCAATGTAAAAGTTAGTGGCGGTCCTCATCTGTCTGTGCTTGGAGATGACATAGATCACCAGTGAGTTTCCGATCAGCCCCACTAGCATGATGAGAGAGAAGAAAAGGGGCACCAGCCAAGCATCCGTCAGGAAGGGGTGCTCCTCGTCCTCTGTGTCCCCCATAGAGGAGTTTCCAATGGAGCTGTTAAGCAGCTCACTTGAGTTCCAGTCTTCACTTGGAAACATAATTTTAGACTTGGCAAAGACCTTCAAACAAGATGAAAAAAGTAAAGTTTCTTCTTTCTGCCAGTGACAAAGTCCTCATGCCCACCAATCCAATTAATTTTAAGAAAAAGCCGTTAGAATCTGGTGTCTTTTCATAAACATCATGCTAGTCACTGAGGCAAGGTTTTTCGGATAGACGGGTGTTTGAGGGAGACGATTGCCGCAATTTCTCTTCAGCTCTTTGAAAAAGGAGCCCTGCGAGCAGTATCCACTCAAAGGCAGAGTGGATTCACTCCCATTGGCTTTATACGCAGCCTGCACACACGTTGGCAACAGAATGATTGTAGAATGAAGAACTGATGTCAGGTCGCCTAGCAACAATTTTAGGGCTCTCTCGTTCTCTCATTCCACCGCTCTGTGTGTGCAGAGAGCAAAATATAAATGTGGTATTTACCCTGCAATATTCACATAGCCTGAAGATACGCAATCAAAGAGATCAATGTGTTTCAGTTTGTTCTACTATCACACCTCATATATCTAACCTAGAAATTACCGGCTACAGCATGGAAAAACACAATTACCGCTTCTCAGGACTGCATTTCGCATCCTAGCAAATTGCCATATGGGATCTCCTTTGTTAAGTCCAGGTTACTTTTATCTTCCTGAAGGCTGTATATGCTCTTTTGGAGCAAATCGAACCAAATTCAGACTATGAATGAGCAATTCAATCAGACCTAAGGTCTTGGAGAATGAGCTCACAATCATGGTTGAATCACACACGGACTGCTCTGATAACAGCACAGTGGTCACTGATGAAGACATGGAGACCGAACACTCCCACAATTTCTATTCAATAAAATTTCTATTCAAAATTTCTATTCAATTTCTATTAAAAAAACACTTCAGTTTGCCTGCTCTTCAATTCAATTCAATTCAAGTTTATTTGTACAGCGCTTTTCACGATACAAATCATTGCAAAGCAACTTTACAGCAAATTAAGTTTCTACAATATTTAGTGGTAGCTTATCAGTGGTGATTGTCAGTCAATGTACATATGGCAGAAATGTATGGAAAAATCAATTAAAGACGTAATCAAACAGACGATGAACACTATTAAATGATCATTAGGCCTCATGTTGTTCCAAACTTGTATGATTTTCTTTCTTTCTTCTGTGGAACACAAATGGAGATATTTGAATGTTGGGAACCAGCACAGAGCTCCTATTCTCCATCTTCATTACTTTACTGTCTTTATTTAAACAAATACGATTCCCAGAGCAGTTACACTGTTACACTTCATATATTTATTTATTCATGAAAAATACTACAGTGAAATTACTGAATCAAGAAAATTCCATCTGCTGAGAGAGAGACTGACCTCTGAGTCCAGGTGAGCTTCCAGGTCCACCATCAGGAAGATGTAATCCACCGGGATCGAGGACACGAAGTCCACGAGGAACCAGCTCTTCAGGTAGCGCTGGCGGATGGCCTTGTG